GCAGAATGGGCAAAACGTTGATTCATCAGATATTCGAGTCTGAATGCCGATGGGTAAAGGTAATCGTTCCTCCCAGTACAAAAAAGTAGAATTTCAGAATGTACTGTTGGGCATAGATACACGCGACAATTGCTGTACGTTAAAGGATGCAACTATTTGCGTAATTAGTCAAATTATTCATCAAAATAATGTCTCTCGTTTGATAGTGCGAAAGTTTTCCGAGGTGGATGATTTTATAGGATTGGCTTGCCATCCTCGATTTTCCAATTTTTCAAATGTGCTGCATTAACCAGTGACACTTTTCCCGTCCATCCGGAAGATATAGTAGCAAAGTGCTATAGGATGCCCGTTCCACTTGGCGATGCAGCATTTCACGAACATCGTCATTCTCTATACTTTATTTCCCGAGTGACTAGGAGCCTTCCGCGCTTGAAAGGTGGTCGGGGCCGCAGCGAACGTCTCGGACCTCCCACCATGCGTTAATCGCCGCCTCACCGTCCACGGTTCATTATACACGGTAGGACAATAAGGACACGCTTGTATTGGGAAGTGGTAAATATGGGTGGGAGATGCGCAGAACGACCGAAAACTGAACCGTGCCGACTCCTAGTCACTCGGGAAATAGAGTATACATGAATGTGTACTTGCTGCGCTTCTGCATAGAGAAAATTAATAGAAACGTGTACAGAGGATCGTTTCTCTGGTGGTAATGTATCTAGAACGTTCGAAACTAGTCACGTACAAGGGGTTTTAGTGGGTAACCCGGGGTATCTCTTCCCGTGGTCCCACACTACCTCCGTCTTGTAGAGGTGTGCATAAAGCATTTCCCCTTTAAAAAAAAAAAACAATGTAATCGTGATTTCATCAGGCTGAAGAGGTAGGATTGAAGGTACGACTGCCACTGTCATTTGGGCCAGCATCGTTTTTAAACACGCAAACATTCTGTGTGCGTAGCATAATTTATTAACTTCTTCGTTGTATTTGTTCGCAGGAAACGCAGGGACATTCGACGTCCGTCTGGTAGGCAATCATGATTTAGCCATTATCCAACTTATATTATATTAATA